ACATTCCTGTCTCCAAGAGGTCAAAAAAAGCTAAATCCAGAGTTTGACGTCGTTGCTTAAAACGGAAAAAATGCAAAATATTTTCTCTATTAATCTTCACAGTGATTTGACCAACCACTGTTCTTTCAGCACCTCTGTGATAATGCCCTTTGATCACTCGGAGATGGTTGCAACAGAGTCGGACGTGCACTGATGTAAATAGGCTTTGACATACCGCAGACAGGCTTTACCTCATAGCCCTGCAATGCGGCTCCTATCATTTAAGTGCAACTGTGATCAGTTGCCTTTGATTAACAATGACTGCTTTGATAAAACACATTCTCATCTTTGTTACTTCACGGAAACTAGAAAGCGCACGAGGAAACTTGAGTGTATTGTGGCTCCAGCAAGACTATGGGGTTGCATTACTGCTCAGGCACATGACAATAATGGTCCATTGTTAAGATTCTGCAACGGGGAAAAACAAACTAACACGACTTTATTTTTCGAGCGAAAGCGACTTACTTTTTTTAAGAAAAAGAAATCTTATAAGAGCCGGGTTGAGCGCGAGTGGTTAAACGCTTAACTTGTAAGCACAATGTCCCATGCTGTGATCCCAGGCCTCTCAAGCTATATCAAACTTCTTTGGGTTATGATTTGTCGGTGGGTTATGTCCTGTCAGTGCTCTTCCGGTTATCAGGTGAGTTAACCTTTCCTTTCCCATCGCGCCTGAAGACCTTCCTATTCGACAGTGCCTACGCCCCATCCTCCCACTTGGTATCATGCTCCATTACTGTCAAGCACTCTGGGACACTACCCTGTGTGAGGGACGCTATATAAATGCAAGTTACTGTTGCTGTGAGTCCCCAAATGACTAACGTGCAGTAGAACGTGTATTCTACTCCCTATTCTATTGAGCTAGGTTTCTGATCCCCAAACAAAAAGAGCACTCTTACAAATCCATTGCAATCTCTCTAAGTAGCTCACTGGTGCTGATGTACAAGCAGGTTTGCAGTATTGACTAATGACAAATACAGGCTGATCCGAACTAGGCAAAAGCAATCTGATTTGGGACTTATATTCATAAGATAGAGGAGACTTGCAACAGGTCAAACTGGACTTGATTGTGACCAAGGTGACTGAGGTGAATGCATGGTCAATCTCCAAACCCAAGTCCCCAATAAAAATCTCTTTTTTAAATAAGGAGGTGGGGGGGAAACGCATGATATGCTTTCATTTGATTTAGTGCATTTGCTTTTCCTAAGGAGAGCTTGATTTCTAATTCAGTGTGCTGAAACAGAACTCTATTTGCTTTCTAAGTGATGAATATTTAAACCGAGTCACAGAACAGCTCGAGTCCAATTGAGTGTAGAATAAATGACAGCGTGTGTTTGTGCACGCTTAGCTCTGTTAGATTTCCATGTTTGGGAAATTTTCTGTCTATTAAATCCCCCTCCCTTCTCGAGAGTGACGTGCAGTCTGCATCCATAAGGATCAGTGAGGCATGCACAGCAGAACATTTACACAGACATATCCATAATTCATTATGTGATGATTTACTTTCGAAACCTGACATCTGTTGTGAAAAGACAACCCTCTGTATCATTCGTTTCCCTTTGAATTCATCAGTGAGGAAGTGCTCTAAGACGTTATCCTATAAGAAGGTGCTACATAAAAGCAAGTTGCTGTTTTTGTTGATACGTAATCCAATAGATAGCACCGGCACACCTGAGGCAGTATAAAGTTACATGCTTATCGGACTTACATAAGCTGTATGGTGCCTGAAATAGACCTTCGGATGTTAATGTACTGCCAAATCCAAACCTACCGAATGCTGATCTTTATGCACTTGCGGTGGTCTAAGAGCCAAAGTCTCAGGTAAGCAGGTTACCGAAGAAAGCAACAGATACTTTAGAAGGGAAAACTGATCAGGAGCATTCCCTGGCAGCGAGTGGGGTTGGTTCCATTCCCGAGCCGATTTGTTTATTCGACTCATGATCTGGGCTAATTAACATTGCTGGCCGCAGAATGGTTATCCCTAAACATCACGGATACTGTTCCTTGTTTGGGTTTTCTTTAGGACCCAAACCTAACTGGTGAGATCTCAATGATTAAAATGAGAACGTTTACGTGAACAACCGACGCTCTAACCTATTTCCGGTCAGAAGACTCCAAGTGAAGACAAGGATCGTAACATAAAGATTTTTCTCTGCCTTACTAAGGATTAAGAAGAGGAAGATTCCTTAACTGTTTTATTCGAGAGGAATGACTAAAATATAGATAGAGCACCGTCGTGGCTAAAAGACCCATCTCTAACTTGGTCACATGGTTTATTCTATCTGGGAGAATAAATAAATCAATCCCCTCCCACCGGTTCTCATCGCCCTCTGCCACTGTGGGAAGCTCTGGGACACTCCCCTGCGTGAGGGGAGCTATATAAGTGTAAATTGTTGTTGGCATTGTTGGGATAATTTCTTCAGAGTTCGCTCGTGACCCGAGAGCACATCAGTTACCGGTGGGTGAGCAGATGATTTCAAAGGTTCGAAAAAGAGTCTGGCGTCCGCTGATGCAAGCAGCAAGTTCGTGCAAAATACTGGGCGAAAATTCTGCCAGTTAACTGGCTCCAACCTCTCCCCCAGGTCTCCTGAAATTAAAATTGCTCATGTACACACATACACACAGAATCCAATTGCAAAGCAGACAGCCGAAAATAGTTTGTCTGCGAGCCTTTTAAAAGCTCTACATGTTCTTCCATTCAGTTCAGTGACGTCTGTGTCCATTTTAATGCAAGCCTATATGTAAATGCCAGATAAACGGGAGGGGAAAGAAGATTGAATGTAATCGCTGGATGACATCCACTTACACGCAAGTCAAATGATTTTCAAGCTTGAAAAGTCAGATTGCGGAATACAGTTCTAAATATAACAAGATCAATTTCCATGCTCCTAGCTGATCGGTGATGGCATCTGTCTAAAAATAAACCAATGTTCTTAATATCCCAAACCTGTTAAATGACTGTCAAACACTGTCAATCATTTAACAGTCAGAGAATTCAGTTTTTTTTAAAAAACATAATTCCTGCTTTACACATGCAATCTTCACGCACGGATTATTTGTTTCTACCTACTTACACTGAAATACTAAATGTGTGCAAATGTCTACTTATTGTAGGCATTCGTTGGATTTCAGAGCAGGGTTTTGTTTCCTGAAGGATTTTGTTCCGTATTAATATTGAAGTTGCTCACGTCACATCTTGACGTCGACACTCAATTAGATGGGATGGAAAGTTTAGAAAGATCTCGGTTTCGGAGCTGATTCCCATTTCTGCAACCGGCAATGAAGCCAATTCTGATTGCAGAGAGAATTACGATAATAATTCTGGCGTTTGATACACATCCTTTCATGTCAGGAGGATGACTCCAAGTACTTGTACACTCGTCCACAAAATATACAGTCAGTCAACTCACTTTACAGTATATTCTGTGAAGCGCTTTGAGATGTCTCGAAGACATGATGAGGCGATATATCAAAATGCAAGGATTATTATTATCATTACTGTGAAATGTAGGGAGTGCGCTTTTTTAAAATAATAATAATCATCCTTGGCAAAGGATGTAAAGCATCAGGATGCTTTAAATGAGCTCAATGTTCCTTGTGCCAGCGTAAAACACCATTCATTCTAACTGCCAGTTAGAAAAGCAAATGCTCACGTTATTTTTAGAATGTATCACATAATGTACCTCATTAAGAACTCATATCAGTACCACTTTTGATGCATTGAATGCAAGCTTTTAGCACACCTTAACGCCCCCTTCTCCCAGCCAAACCGAACACTCATCTCCCTTAATCAATGTGCTAATGGATGTCTGATGGGGTTGGATTATGGGATAAGAGAGAGCGTAGTTACCTGAGATCACACAAGGTGTTGTGCGGCTGAAAGAAGATTGACCATGAGTGGAAAGCTTTGCTTTACTTGAAATAATGTGGTATTTAAATTAATGGTGGAAAAAGCTGTACAGATCATATTTTCCCTAGAGTAGACAGACTCTTTCAGAATCGCACTTGAGGCGAGTTCCTTCTATCACTATTTGTTTGGGAAGAATTAATCTGACACCAGATTATTTTTTAATGAGTATCTGGGCCGCAAAACATGTTCATTTCCTCCCAGTACCTTGACGTGATTGGTAATAGAATGTGTAATTACACATCATGTGAGAGGTGGAAGCAGTTGAGCATTAAATGTCACTGTACATCTATGCTGTTTGCATTTGTCATAATTACTCATCAGAACTGCGTCTCCACTCCATCCGGCAGCACAGAGATCATAGTGCTTCATTTAAAGAAGATTTGAAGTCATAGAACCATATCAATTTATAAGGCAAAAGGAGGTGATTATGGCTCATTGTTGCTCTTCGAAACAGCCCTCTTTGGTCTCCTTTCACTGCTTTTACCCTTCGCTAACTGAGATTTTCTACTTCTCCTTTTCAGATATTTATCTAATTTTCCTCTTAAAAACCAATATGGATTTTGACTCAACCATAGTTCGAGGTCGGGCATTCCACCTCCTAGCATCCCTCGGTGTAAAAAATAATCGTCTTTTGCACTTTTGGTAATTATCTTAAATCTATGCCCTCAAATCACAGCCTCACCTACCATCAGTAAATTAATAATAATAATCCTTGAATTTGATAGAGCGGCTTATCATATCAGAGTTAAATGATTTGAGTTAAACCTCACATGTTACAAATGAAAAGTGATTTGAGTCCTCAAAGAGTTAAAACCAAACTCTCTCCCCCTCCCCCCCCATTCCCACCACCACCATATACATAAACCATAATAGCCTTGTAACTCTTTGGTCAATATATTGACAGAATGATCATAAATGGACATTGTGCTGTTCACAATGATCGGAGCACGTCATGTAATGTGCGAGCCTAGGAGGAATCGACACTGCCTGTGCATCACGAGGGGAATCTTGAAATATGTTTGTGCGTCACTAAAGTTTTCCATCTGCCTCTCAGGCGTACCTCAAGGATGTGCAGAATGCTTTGGAATTGCAGACTGACGCAGCTGAGTGAGATCAAGCTATTCCTGCAAAGGTCTGTTACAGCATCAAGAATCACATGCGCACAGCAGCACAAGGCGATTCAGATGTCAGAGCTTGACTGTCACTATTCCCCTTTAGCACACAGAAACCTGGCTCGCATAATTCTCAGCTGATGGTTAATAGACCTGTTGTTGCTCTCCATCAATGTTGCTACAGCTGATTTACACCATACTGTGCCGGCAGTCTGTGTTTTTTTTATTTGGCTCTGGCGTGCATTGGCAATTAGTTGCGAAACAGCGAATTCTTTTGAATTGTAGATTTCCCAGCTAATTTTGGCACATCAAACCCGCACTGCAGATTCGATCAAATAATCTAGCGGAACAGCACTTAATAAATCCATAGTTTCGAAATGATAACATGCAGGCACATTGAGCGCACTGTAAAAATAAAATCAATCTATGAAAAAAAGCATGGTTTGAAACTATGCTCTCGTTTTAACTCTTACTCAACTAAGTGCTTTGAGACGTCTCAACAACGTGATGAGGATCTATATCAAATGCAAGGATTCTTATTATTATCAAAGAGGAACCAGACAGGTATGCTTTAAGAGTTATAGGATGAGAATACAATTCAGAAATTCAATGGTTACATATTTTTTCTCCTCTCATTTCACCTCCAATATGTTTCTGCCATCTCTCCTCACCTGAAGGGAAGGCAGAGCTGAACTTTGTTCTGTTCACTTGCCAGGGACTAACACAGCCTGTATATCATTAACACACGTTTATAGTTGTGCACTGAAACCGTTCACAATCCCTTCCCTCTCCTCACCAATTCTGCATGCAGTCCAGCATGGTTCAACCTAGGAAACAGGAGTAGGCCATTCAGACCCTCGAGCCTGTTCTGCCACTCCCATGGATCATGGCTGATCTGTACCACAACTCCAATTACCTGCATCAACTCTCCTGGAGGGTCTTTTCTTCTTGGAGGAACAAACACCATCACGAAAGAATGGGCTGAATGGCCACCAGTTGTATTGTCCTCATTCAGAGGCGAGATGGGGGAAGCATATTGGGGGGAAATGAAAGGAGGATAAAAGGTATTTAATTATTGTCAGCTGCTCCTACTACCATTCACCCATTACAGCATCAAGCCGTTTCTTAAATCAATTTACCTGCCTAGTAACCTGTTGCAGTTGTTAATTACTCTCGGGGTAAAGAAATACTTCCTGGTGTCTGACCTGAAATTCACCTTTGAGATATTAACCCTATCTTCTCTTCTACTGTCTTGATGCACCCAAAACCATTGATCTGGTTTTAATTTTCAAATCTATAAAATAAGGTGTAATAAAACTGTATCAATTCTCCTCTGAGATATCTTCTCTCAAGACTGATGAGCCCTGGCTTCTTTAATCAATGTTCACAGGTCATTCCTTTAACATTGAGAATAAGCTCGTTCCTCCCACTTTAGAACTGGCAATGGCAAACAGTGTGAAGAAGCTTTACGTATGGACTGCATTGCAGAATGCGTCAAAGCTGCTCAGCTTTACACGTTAATAATAGCTGCTCGTAATTTGAGATGGGCTGATTAGCAGGCACATGTGGACATTGCTGGACTCAAACACCTCAGCAACTTTCACTGAACTGTAAAATATATATTAAGAGTAAACCTATCACTACATACTTTGCAAAATATTAACTGAAGAGGATCAGTTATTGCTCGCCAGAGTTCACAGGGTTCAGATGTTCTAACATGTTACTAGCATTTCACTGTCTTATTTTACAGACTCGGCTACATCCTGGGCCAATGTTACAACATGCCATACATTCCTTCACAACCGTTACCTTGTGTTTCGCAAAACACAGTTTATTCTGCTAACAAATGGATGATCTTCATTTACAAATGGATGTAATGTGTCTCTGTTGATAAGCAACGTGTGGTCATCATTTGCACCAGACAGGATCCACAAACCGAAAAGAAACAAACCAAATAAAAGCCAGCCTTGGAGGAAAAAATGGGGGAAACTTTCCAGGGAGCAGAGAAAGTGTGAAGAGTTGATCTCACAGTCTGTGAACACTGCTGATGTCCCGAAAACCTTCAACTAAAAATGTCTTCAAAGAGCGTCAAAGCACATTACTTACAGAACATTATGTACAGTTGAAACTGGGTGAGGATCAGTAAACTAATAGCTTAACCAGTCCTGCAATGTTTTTTTCCCCCTAAAGCTGTTGCAACACAGAACACAAATTGGTTTCTAAGTCTTCATGCTTTGGGACAAAGCACTAACACAACACAATAGAATATTTAAAATACACCATGAGAATCTAGCTGAGATGCCCCTTGGGAAACCGTGAGATTCTTTGGAAACCTGATCAGGAACACCATTCAAATCCCGCAGGAATATTCAAAGGGAACCTGTGAAGGACAAGGAGATTTGCCTTATGAAATATGTGAATACCATAAAGGAAAAAAAAGCACTCCAGGAATAACTTTGCAAATTCCCCCCATGAGAATTTCTAAAAGGCTTATATTTATGTTCCATTTATCTTTTCAGTTTATCTTTATCCTGATTATTTTGTGTTCTTTTTGCTGTCACAAGTTCAGTTTTCTTTTGCTGAAATATCATGTAATTGACTGTTCCATGATTTAGAGCATCTATGTCACTGAGTACGGTCTTTGATATGTGGGGGGGGGCACAGTCAGAATGTGTGAGTAATTTCCAAAAGCTGCGTTGCAACATATCCCACCAAGATCCTAAGCCAAGCAATAAGCAAACTCACGACAACCAGGGCTACTTTACATTATAAATATCTGAATTCATGCATTGTGTTGTGTGTCACCCTGGCTCAGTTGGTAGCACTCTCACCATTGAGTCAGAAGATTGTGGGTTCAAGCCCCACATCGGAACTCATATATTCTCAACACTCAATACCCCAGTGCAGTTCTGAAGGGGACATCCTTTGGATGAGATGTCCTACCGAGTTTCCGTCTGCCTGTTCAGGTAAACCTTAAAAATCCCATGGTATACCTCTAAAGATTTATCCGATGTCATGGTCAACAATCCCCCAAATAAAAATGGTCATTCACTTCACGGCTGTTCGTGGGACATTGCTGTGTGCAAATTGGTTGCTGTGTTCACCTACAAAATACACAGTCACTTCACCGATCCAATATGGAATGTAGATTGATACACAGACAGACATTTCATCTTTATCTATACTCATCTGGGAGTACTCCTGTGGGAAGACTCCTTTTGGGAGGGCTCAGTGGGAGGACTTGGTGCTTTAAGAATATAATTTTGTTGTTGTTGCCATGGCTTAGCTTCGTCTGGGTTCTTTAGTTTGTTCCCGTCGCTTGGCCACATAGGTCCTCTGTGATGCACGATGCCACAGAACCACTTTGACTCGGCAGCCACCAGGTGTAACTGCAGTGAAAACCGCAAAACTCAAAATAACACATGAACGATAGGAGATACCCGAAAACAAATATGCCCATGTCACTCTCAGATATATAAAACCTTTCCGATGAGGATCATATCTCTACTTCAATCGGTTATTGTGATCCTTCTTGAAGCGGAGACAGGCATTGTCGTTTTATGAACATAAAATATAAAAAGATGTTAAATGCCTGAAGAAAGAACTTTGGGACGTCCTCCCGACGTGAAAGGCACGATATCAAATGCAAGGATTATTATTATTAACCAACATATCAGAGATTTACATTAAATTCTATTACACTATGAGAAGGCATGACATTGACTTTTGTATTTCCTCACTGTTGGGAATTGGCTTGGTGCCAGTCGTAATTTTCGATGGTGTCCAATGGGCTAATTGATGGATGGGTCCAAAGAGAACAAGGGTATCAGCAGCGGATTCAATGCCAATTACAACTGCGGCAATGATTGGCAAATGCATTGGAATTTTGCTTTCACTTTTGATTTATGCCAACAGAACAAGCAACCATATGGGAGGATGTTCATTTTTTCCTCACGAAGCAGCGTTGGAAAGCTTCGCTCTGTCGCCACAGCAGCCAGCTTGCTCCGTAAGCACTGGCAGCGAAGATAGCGTCCTTCAATTTGTGAGTCGATTTTTTATCACCCCGCCAAGTAAATAAATAATAACTTACTTCCAAAAAATAATCATCCTTGGGTTTGTTCTAGCGCCCTTGAGGACTCAACACACTTCAGAGGAGTTACCGTAAAGTGTAGTGACTGTGCATTTTGTAAGTTCAAGGGCTCTATTTTCCTTTTGAGTGTAATTGTTACACCTCTTTTGAAGGGTAAGATTTTGGCAGTGTTTGTAAAGCAAATTGCACTCCTGTGAGTTGCTTTGAGAAGCTATCCTACATGCAAGGATTATTATTATTATTATTACATTTCACCCTGAGGCATCACTCTTTGAGGCAAGACAGATCCTAAGCTTAGTTAGGGTATTTCCTTTAAAAAAAGTCTAATCAAACAATACGTTCCATCTAAGTATCAAGGATTGCTAGTGTAGAAATCATACACTTTATCCTAACAGTATTCACCACTTGGTCATCATTACAACTTTCGTCAAATGGCAATAACACTTTGAATGTGTTAGATAGGGTGTTTAAAACAAATTATAGCAAGTTATAGGAGAAGATGGTTAAACTATGTCTGTGTAATGAATCAGGGATCCAAGGGAATTTGTCTGAATTTTTAGCTCCGAGAACAAAAGAGATGCTTTTGGATGTTGTCTGAAGTATTCTAGGATCAATCGCTATCACTAGAGTCGAGTCCGTATTCAGTTTGGAGCCCAAGTCACAAGACGTGCTATTGCTAATGATAGCACATATGCACATCATATCTCCTTGTAAGTCACAATAGTAATGTTAGTACTAATGTTAGTACTAATGTTAGTAATAGTAATAGTAATGTTAGAAGTTTTGGTATAGTTAACACTGCATCAATCAATGCCCTCAAAAGGACAGCTCTCATGGGCAAATACTTTGGCACTGGCACTGGAAAAGGCTCCGTAGTTAAATTTGCTGCAAAGAATCATATCTATATGGCTGCAACCAAAGCTCTCTCTGTGCCAACCGAAGATACAGTCTCTCAATATAAAATCCATGGATGGTATTTTGTCCAATAGTTCTATCAGTAATCCAGAAAAAGGCATTTTCTCAATGCTCTGTCTCTGATGGTGTATGTTTATTATGCCTCCCCCACCCCCACCCCCCACCCCCACCCCCTGCCCCCCCCACACACACACTCACAATAAACTTGCAATAAAAAGTCACTAAACAAAACAATTTTCATCCAGTGTGTGATACAACATAATGGCAAAAGTATGCAGTAATAGCGATTTAAACTGGTAAAGTTGAGGTTAGAATAAGGTTTAACCTGAATTACACACAAGTTAAGTGTATAATTTCTACAGTATGATGTGATAACTATCACTACCACGTACCCTATCCTCCCCAACTGTTATTAATCGGGAGCTAATCTTATCTGAATTGAACTAAAGTGACCTGCACGGTATAATAAAATACATATAAATGTAACATTTAGAATTTGCTTGCAAATTTCAAATAAAGGTTATAATTCAAGTCATCTTTATTGCTTTTGTTTCTGTAACATGAATCTAGGATACTGTGGTACATTACTTGAGATGTGAATTACTTAAATGCAATGCAGTCAGTGACAACAGCACTTGAGAATGTCTTACAATAGATCACTAAAAGGTAAAGGAAAGGTAACATCATAGCAATTGTTCAGCATTTTCCTATTAGAGTCAAATCCCATTGTTCCAACAGTTTTGCATTCATCGTGAAAAGTACCTTTTCTCAGAAAGAACAATATATTTACCATCTTATAATTCTTATTTATACAGCACTTAACTCTGATCAGACTTCTTTCAATATTGTTATGAAATGCATTTGGAATAGGTTTGCTTGCTAACTTTTCATGCACAGCCTTGATAATAACCATTGTAAGTTCCCCACTATTCTTCGAATGGCTTTAGCACATTTTTGGCCTTGCTTCCTCCCTTGACATTTGAGGTGCTGAATAGTTCGATTAAACTTTTCACTGTTCATTTGTCAGATCAACCTTGCATCATTAAAGGTGTCCTGTTTCATTACTCTAGCAGATGAAGTTGGACATGATGGGAACGGAGTCACTGAAATAATATCAGATCTATTTAATAATAGATCCTCACTCTCCACATGTTCATAATCCACCTCAAGACTTACCTCTTTGACCTTGCATTTGGTCATCTTTCCCCACTCCACTTCCCCATCTTAGGTGCCAACAGTGTGAAGCACTTTGAGAAGCTCTCCTGTCGTGGAAGATGCAATATATATATAGATTGTATTATAATCTGCATGACCTGACACATGATAATAATAACAATCCTTGCATTTGATACAGCGCATCATCACGTCTTCGAGACGTCTCAAAGTGCTTCACAGAAGAGACTGTAAAGTGAACTGACTGCATATTTTGTGGGCAAAACACACATGGCTGGTGACTTCATTTGTTCAGTGATGAGACGGTCTGTCTATATGACAGTGGTTAAGCAGAACCACAGCTGGATCCAAACAAGCATTACCTTTAGCTGCAAAATTAAATACTCTGGACCTATTTGCATGTACTCTCAAATTCCAAACATATTTTTGTGGATGACTAAAGAGTTAGCCTTTTTACTATTCTGCCAGGTTTTTGGTCATGGGCCTGGTCTGTTTTTTTCACGTCATCAGTCACCAGTTCCCTTTCATGTTTACTTGGATGGAGGGAAGTGAAACAGAATAAATCTGCTTCAGTGATTCAGTTCCAGCCCGATGAGAAGTTTGGCAACTGTGCAGTTACTAATTTGTGGCCAATTCAGCAATCCTTAGTGTCCAATGCCAATATAAATCTGGCCGATGCAAAAATTGATATAATTTTCTAACGGAGGATGCAAACTAACAATAACTGCTTGTTGGATCCTTTCTCTTTGACCATGCCTTCAGCTCCCCTCTCGACTCTCTTCCCCCTCCTCGCTCCCTCCCTTCCCTCCCCTCACCCTGACCATTTCCCCCCTCCTTGCTCCCTCCCTTCCCTCACCCTGACCATTTCCCCCCTGCTCGGGTCATGACCCAACTGTGCAGCGCCTTGGGACGTCCTCCTGACGTGAAAGGCGCTTTATAAATGGAATCTTGTTGTTGTTGTTGTAATAAAAACTGAGGCCTTCCCCAATATTAATAAGAAAGAGTCTATCACTATTGAAAATAGAATATTGTCCCCGCAGTGTGTTGCTCCTCAGAAACTGCAAATAACATACTCTGTCATGGACTGAACAAAATCTCTTTCATCTCCTGAGGAAAGATCTGTCATGTTTCTTCTACAAAAATAATAATAATTTGGTCACTCAATCCACAACTGTTTGTGGGGCACTGCTGAGCGCAATTGGCTGCCGCGTTTTGCCCACAAAATATACAGTTGATTCACTGTACAGTATACTCTGTGAGGCGCTTGGAGATGTCTCAAGGACACGATAAGGCGCTATGTCAAATGAAAGGATTATTATTATTACAACCATCCAACTTAAGATCAAGAAAATTAAATGCCCATCAAATTTTACAGCCTATCTCATCCATCCATAGCCTTTCTTGTCATAGTATGACAATGTTCTCAGCAGCTCAATCCATTTGACCATCTCTAATTGCACCCACTCAGACATCTTTAATACTATTCCCAACCAGACACCCATCCAATCCATACTAATGCTTTCATGCTTAATGATTAATGTTGTAACTGTAGTGTGGCAAAGGAACAGATCTTTTTTTGTGAAAATAAGTCAACGCAAAGATCTGTTCCTTTGCCACACTAAATATAATATTCTAACCACATAACAGAATTCATATGTACTAACGTTTAGAGCATTCGTGAGGATTTGTGAGGGTGATGGATTGAATAGCATTGCTACTTGGATGGGATGTGGCACTGCATATCCCTAAACCACATCCTGCTTGGTCAGAGATCAGATAATGTGTCTGGATCTGTGGCAGATATGACTGACAGAGGTAATAACTTCATGCTTAAGGCCATTTCAATTAGTCCTGATGCACCGCCAAAGTCT